AAGTTTCTCAAGGGCGCATAAGTGAGGACAAAGTGCGCGTTAAAGGCTTGTGGAGGTTTGTGAGGACAATACTAAAGGTCGTTAGAGGTCTGGAGGGTGTGTAGGAGTAACTACCTTGGGCCCTATGGGCGCAACGAGGACGTTGCGATCCTAAGTGGGGATGATTGTAACACTTGTGATTAATTTAAAAGGATTAATAGTACTATTCATACCAACAAGATACATCTCTTTTTAAGAGAGCTCATCTACTTGGAACTCCAAAGTTAAGCATGCTTGTACGAGAGTAGTCTTGGGATGGATGACCCCCTGGGAAGTTTTTCAGGGGCGCACGACTACGACTGCACGAGTGAGGACAAAGTGCGCGTTAATTGCTTGTGGAGGAGGTTTGTGAGGACATTACTAGAGGTCTTTAGAGGTCTGGAGGGTGTGTGGGAGTAACTACCTCGGGCTATATGGGGCGGGGGAGTTACACCAGCGTAATTTGGGATGTACCTGGCCTTCTTTTTTGTGTCCCTGAAAACTATTTGATCCATTATTCTTGACAGATGAGTTGTGCCCAGCCGTAGTTCTTCCCAAACAAAACTCCATGCACTAGCTTGAGTATATGTACATTACATGGATGATGGCCAGACTGCTTATGTGATAAGCATTTGTTCAGGATGGCAAATAAGATTCTCCAGGGTAGAGTGATTTTGCTATGTTGGAAGTGGGTAAGGAATGTGAACGATGGAAGGTGACCCATGTGAAGCATGTCCTGGAGAAGATCTTTGTCTGTGGGAAAGGGGTCTAAGGTGGTAGGATGTGGATGATGGAGAACGGTATGGATGGTGGAGTGGGTGATTTGTACTGTGGTGATGGCTATGTTGGCTTGCAGTGTAGGGATGACTGCGTCAGCTACAGAATTAAGTGTTCCCCAAAATTGGCGGAGGTATATCTGGGGAACTTGAGTAGTATGAGTGAGAGCTAGCCGGAGTGAATGCCATTTCAGAATAGATATGATGATCGGATCAGGGCATTTGAAAACATTGGAGTGCAACAGAGAATTGTTATCTTTTAGATCGATCCACTCCTCTTTTGGATAGACCCCTTCTTCAGGTGAAAGTGTCATTATTTTCAGAACTGCAAATAATATTCAAATAATGAGATTAAGGGGTTGGGTGTAAGGACTTGGGTTGGGTCGAAGCTTAAGGGTAATTTGGGCTATGGATTATGGTTTAAGGCTTTAGGAAAATTTGGCTAAAGGATTTTTGGGAACTCGGGGCTTGGGTGTTTTTGGGATCTCGGGGGGGGGGGGGGGAGATCACTAGGGTTTAGATTTCAGGCAATAGGAAAACGGGGGCATAGGATCTCGGGCTCATGGATTTCGGGTGAGGAACGCGGGGGTGAAACACGGGGTGGAAACTTTTTGTAGCATTTCCTTTTGGTCCTATTACTTGTTTCAATCATCGTTCCACCAAGGCGCGCCCGTTTTTTGTGCCATCCATCCTTTAATTAGATTCTACGAGTGTCTCTTTCACCACTTTGTTAATGGCAGACTCCATTAATAACCACACATCATCCACATGTGCATAATTATCAATACATTACACCATACATCTTCCTCCAACATTTTGTGTGCAAAACTTTGTTGGAGATCACCCTCGAGCCTCCACCACTTTGACTTTGGCTCCACTTGTTGCTTAACCTGTCTTCTCTTCTTACCTTAAAAGTCAAGCACATGCATCCTATGTTGAGTGACAACACTCTCACCTGGGATAACCTTACAATCAGCGAATCTAGTTCTCCAAGTCATTTGTACTAAAAAGTAGTCAATTTGTGTACTATTAGCTCCACTTCTATAGGTCACAAGGTGAGAGTCTCTATACTTGAACCAAGTATTCATTACAACCAACTTATATGTTGAGGCAAAATCCATAATGTTCAACCCTGTTTGATTTTTAGTGCCAAAATCATGTCCGCCATGGATACTCTCAAAATTGTCACGACTTGGGCCCACATGCCTGCTGAGGTCGCCTCCTATGACCAACTTCTCTTCCCTCGGCACGCGTCGCACATCCTAAAGATCTTCCCAAAATTGTTGAATGATAGATACATCAAATCCCACTATTGGTGTATAAGCACTTACCACATACATGATCTGATCTCCTATTACCAATTTAATACCATGATGAAGTCATTCTTTCTAAAGGCTTCCACCACATCCTCAACATAATCTCACGCCACAATAATGCCTACTGCATTTCTGGTCTCCTCCTTCTGAATACGACAATTTAAAACTTCAGGGATTAATCTCATGTGCCTTTTCTCCAATCCACTTAGTTTATTGCACACAAATATTGTTAATATCCTCCTGCTCATAACCTCGACTACCACATATGATCTACCGGTAAGATAGCCAACATTAAACGTCCCAAAGTGGAATCTAGCATCCTGCCTTCTATTCTTCACACTGCATCGATCCCCACCATGCCCTTGCATATTTGACACCATCTCCGGACAATGGGGTGGCACGCCGCTTTTGAATGACAACCTATCAACTTTAGTGTTCTTATCACCACACCCAGACATATGAAGTGGGGCGCGCCTTTGTATATTTGACACCACCCTCAGGCGGGGAGATGCTAGTTCACTTACGGTGACGATCTAACTGTAGATATATTCATATTTCAATTCATGTCATGTGATGTGATTAAGAGAAAGTGTTAGTGTCACATGTCTACCACACCACTCTTCTCCTTTATTCCGATTGGGACATACATGATACCAAAAATTAACGCATGACATAGTTATCAAAATACACTGATGTCAATAATTAAAGTACCGCTTATGCATTTATAAATGACAACTCCCAAAACTAAAATCTCTATCAGTCTACCCATTAAAAGATATATCCCATGAAAAGGTCGTCTGGCTTACTTGGGTGAACACCCACCCCAAGTTTCTCCTTAGTGAGAGGCATTGAGTTCAATTCTCACCGAAAGGAGATGAATGATGTCTTGTTTCTCATTATTATCCCTACCTTCATGGAGTAGCTTAGCGATTAAGAATGAGGGATGGTAATGGAGACAATCAATTTGTGTGGTGGGAAGAGCAACCAGATAGAAGATGGTGTAAGTTCCTTCAGATTATAATAAAGATAATAAGTCCTGCTAGATTCGCCCTTTGAAATCAATGCCAACGAAAGCTAACTGTGATTGATTCTATGGGGATTTGCCTGTTTAGAGGATAGTTCATGGACTTTTAGTATTATGAGAACATGATAAAAAAACATCCCTATGCACGAGCATGTACCACCGCCCCTCAACTAATGCAAGACATCTCATTTTGCAAAATGAAACGAGAGAGAATTTATTGCGGACTGAAGAGAGAGTATGAGCAATAGTGACCCAAACACACAATGTTCCTGAATAGTTATCAACTTATCACTTGTCAATTAAGAAAGTAAAAGAAATTTGTCATGAAAAATGACATGTGTATTACTAATAGAGTTTACCCAGACAAATATATGATTAGTTATGTTCTTGAACAAAAATATGACTACTCATTGTGTACGAGTCACTATGAACTGGTCACTATAATGTATTTTAAAATAACAAGTCACTAAATATGTCATTTTTTTGGAAAATTTTAAAATAAGTCATGTTTTTGTCTTTTGAATTTAATTTAGTAATATTCATGGAAAAAGACCATTTATCATCACCAAAAAATGAAGTAATTTTCTATAGTTGACATTTGTACAAATAAAATAGAAGTAATGTTTAGTTTTTTTGATGGCAGAAGTAATGATTAGTTTAAGAGTAAAAACGTTTTGAAATTTCAGAATAGGACATTCATGTTTTTACTTTATAAATATGAGTAATTTCAATCAAGTTTTGAAAAAAATTGCCATGATTAAAACACGATAACGCCAAACTTGACATAAATTACTCCTATTTAGGAAATAAAAAGATGATCCTCTTATTTTGAAAATTGTAAAACTCTTTTACTTCTAATTTAGAGAATTTTCCATTATTTTTTAACGTATAAGTGATGTTGTGGTAACAAAAGTAAGAGGACAGATCATGCATGTTTAATAGACGTAAATTCTTACCTTCTAACTTTGTACTAAAATACACATGAAGAGCATTTTCCTAGGGTTTGCGCCGCTAGGTTGAGTTTTCCGTTTTTGATCTTCCGATCGAAGAACGGTGGTTCTCTGGGCTTGCGATTATCGCAAGGCTCGGCTTGGTGATTTAGGGAAGGAAGTGAAGCTTCGTTTGGGCCCAGGGTACTGGGCGAGTCTGATTTCTGGTTTCGGCCGAGGAAGAGAGAAGAGGAGAGCTCGAAGGGCTTGGGCATCGAGATCGAAGGACGACGACTGCAGATGGAGATGACTGGAGTCGGTAAGCAGGGGATTGGAGATCAACTTCACGCAGCTGAGGAGAGCCGAGCAGTGCAAGGTACGGAAAAATTCCAAGAGCAGATCAACGGTGAACAAAAGGACAAGAACGAATTGGCGATTGATGAAGATGAAGAAGAGGCGGTCGAGTCGGAGGAAAACCGCTTTGGTGAAACAACAATCGTTGCGAGGGTCCGGCCTCCTCCAGAACCACAACCAAGGGTTGATCGACACGTTTTGGAGTTTGCTTTTTTATCTTTTCTGCATTTCAATTTCCAAGTTAAGACGTTTGTGTGTTGTTGTTATTTTATTTTATACTGTAAGACTCTTACATTACGTTCTTTTACTCCTGCTGAATGCTACTATCTCCGTCACATTTTATGTGTCTTAGTTTGACTTGGCACGGTTATTAATGAAGTGGTTGAAAAAGTAAAAGTTGTGATTGAGGTTTGAGTATAATAAAGTGAATTGGTGTAGGCCGCATATTTCTTTCCCAAAAAGGAAAGTGGACACTTATTTTGGGACAAACCAAAAAGGAAAATATGACAAGTAAAATGGGACGGACGGACTATTTTTAATGATATAAGCCTCATTCCATAAAAAAAGTATACATGATGTTTAATGAACACTTAGAAGTTTCCTAACCTGTCTTTCTTTCTCTATCATTTCCCGCAACTTTCCCCGGCATGGATTTCTTCTTCTCAAAGTTTTCTCTACTCCTCTCCGAACCCTAGAAAATAATCCCAATATCGCCACTGGAAAAGTTCGATGTTTATATAATTCAATAAGTTTATTTAAACATAAAAATTAAGAGAAAGATTTGGGGGCGGCGGTAGCAATGAGCTGGAGGAGGACGGCGAAGTCGTTGCAGGCACTGGCAGCCCACACCTTGCTTCTATGCTTTACCCTTTTTCTGGTGCTCAAGCTTGATCGTATAATCTTCAGCTCTTGGTGGTGAGTCTGTTTTTAATCTTTTAACTTTATGCACTAAATATATTTCCGACCTTTCTTGTGTAAAGTTGTAAACTTTTGACCTTTCAGTTTTTATATTTTAAATGTTGAGTTCCGAATTATTTAATTGTACATTAGTTTGGAAAAATTACTCATATTACTCGGCACAACATTTATTTCTGAGTGAATTTATTAATTAATTCATTAATTTATTAATTTTTTTATTTACTTACTCCGTATTTATTTAGTAATTTATTTATTTATTTATTTATTTATTTATTTATTTATTTATTTATTTATTTATTTATTTATTTATTTATTTATTTATTTATTTATTTATTTATTTATTTATTTATTTATTTATTTATTTATTTATTTATTGATTAATTTATTGATTAATTTAGTAGTTTATTTATTTATTTTTATATATATTTACTTACTTATTTATTTAGTTTTTGAGAAGAACCAGAGACGCTTTAGAAGTTTGCAAGCCAGGAATGGCAGGTCAGGGGACGAGACTAAAGGAATTTATATTGAGGGGCCAAAATTTAAAATTTCACTATATTTTTTACTATTTATAAATATTTATAGATATGTATACACATCACAAAGTTTTACTCTTTCCAAATGCAATTTGTTGAGCTGAGTCTCGGGAGATTTGGTAGATCTATTCTTTAAGATAAATTGATTCTAAAATATGTTGGAGATGCATAGTACACCAAGGGTCTGTTTGGATGAAGGCTGTTTGGAGGGTTTTGTAGTGGAAGAGGCTGCCTTAGTGTATAATACAATATCTTGATAAATAGAATGTTTCTAAAAACAAATAAATGGTGATTGCAATGTTTTACAACCAGAGATCATGTTAATCTTTCAATTTAAAAAAAATCAAATGTATAACAGGACATAGACTAAGCCTGCCTTCCAAAACCTCCCCTCAACAGCCCTCCAAAAACCTGCCATCTTAGCAGGCCCTAAGTGAATAGATGAACTGCAAACCTTACTCTCTACGACCTGTGTTTTAAGGTTGTGATTCTACATATGTGTTGCTGTCTGTGAAAGATGATTAGTAAGTTCAGCAATACTTTAACAATCCCCTTAATGCTAGCCGGTAGAAAGGAAAATGAAGAGCTATGTGATGCATATCTGATGTCTTAAAGAAGATATTTCAAGCCATTGGCTATTTGTGAATGCTCAATAGTTACTGGCTATTTTCCTAAATTCTGAATATTCAAACTTGGGGTATGCAGGATAGTATTCTTTCCTCTATGGTTATTTCATGCAGTTATTGCACGTGGAAGATTTTCACTTCCTGCTCCAGCAATTCCCCATGACCGTCATGTATGACAGTTGTTATACTCATCTGTTGTCTGTTAGTAAAAAAAAATTGCAGAGTATGTTGCAGTAGTATTATCCTGACTGGTGTTTTGTTCATTCTGAACAGTGGGCTCCATGCCATGCTGTTGTGGCCACACCATTGCTTGTCTCGTTTGAACTACTTTTGTGTATCTATCTCGAGAGCTTATATGGTAAGAAAGAGAAATACCAGACTTTTCCAAGTCCATATTCCATCTACTTTCCAAAATATTTGCTGCGTCATACGTCCTCCGTCAATTTTTCAAGGCCCCCAATTTCTATTGTCTTTATACGCCTCTGAAATATATGCACATTAAATATGTTCCCCCAATTTACACCCCCCCCAATACGATTCATTTTGTCTTTTTTCTCGCGGGGAAAATAATTGGGAGGGTGGATTTTACTGAGGGCATATCAGGTAATGAGGTAAAAAGTATTAAAAGTTTTGGTGAATTTTTGACCCCGTACTTTTTCTTGTACAGTGTGGTTCAGTCAACCTAGACAGATAATGAAGAACAAAGGGAACATGATTTAATATTCACACATGGTCTTCTCATTATTTGTATTATTTTATAGGGAGGAAGATATCATTCTATTTTATTTTGTAATTCTGTGTCATTTACATCTCTCTCACGTTATTTTCATGGATCATTGGCTTCATTAATTTTTTCTTTTTCCTCAACGTGCAGTCGACCATTATGCAGCTGTTAATTTAAGAATTGTGTTCCTTCCCTTGTTGGCATTTGAAATAACTATTTTAATTGACAACTTAAGGTATGGTCTATTTTTTGTTATCGCTATAGTTATTTTATCGTGATACCTTTGGTTGCCTGACTATGAAAAGGGTGAATTGAATAAATAAATATCATTACAAAGTTTAAAATTCATGGTGTAATAAGTGTAAACATGAGTACATGACACCCAGTTTTGTCCCCAGACTAGTCAGATTATAATATGATCAATGTAAAGATGATTAGCTTGATATTCTTGAGCATAGTAACCATCTCTGGAGGAATCCCTTTTAATCCGGTTCTTGCTGTCATAAAAGTTGAACCTTAGTTGTTTAACAAGAGATGCTAGGAAAAGTGATTAGTAAGTTTTGTTTGATGATAGTGTAATGTTAACTTTAATAATTGCAGAATGTGCAAATCTTTGCTTCCTGGGGATGATGAAAGCATTTATGATGATGCATTCTGGGAGACGCTTCCTGTAAGCTCTTTTCTGTAGAGTATTTTCATTTTTTGAAGAATAAATTAATGTCTTGTGCCAGCCAATAGTGCCATATTTAGCATGTTCCTTTTGCCCCCTCTCAGAGAGGAAAGTATTTGCAGCTTCATTTAGAGTCCTACACAAATTCTTAGAGTACTTGTTCTGCACCATATCCAACATCTATTTTATTGGTAGACAAACAATTTTCCTTTGTGAGAACAACTACCTGATCATTAGGATTTAAAGCCTGACAAATTGCAGGATTTTGATACAAAGCCATTCAGTTCACATTGTCTATTCCAACATCTTTTTCCAGGATTAATGAGATTTCTTCTGATTTCGTTGAAATAAAAGATACAGCGTTTTCTTTATGGTGTTATGTGATAAAACAGCTATATCAATGATCATATTATGATTTATGAGGTGTGATTGAATTCTCAGCTGTACCCTTTAGGAAAAAATCTAAACATTTCAAATTCTTCGATTGTTATTCTTTGCATGTTGAGTCTGAAGGTATTGCTTTTTAACCTAGGGCTTCAATTTTTTTGGTATCATACATATGATTATGAATTCAAATCGTTCATTATTATGCAGTCCATATACTACCTCCGTTCTCTTTTAGTTGCAACATTGGACGTTTTGCACTATTCACATATTCTACTTTGACTATATTTTATTGATTAATGTATTATAAATTAAATTTTTAAAAAATATTGTTAAATTCTACACATTCCAAATTTTCAACATATGATTTTTTAATTTTTTTACTAATAAGGAATGAAAGATATTAATGGTCAAACTTGTGCGTTGGCAAACGTGAAATATTGACTGTTGCAATTAAAAGGGAACGGAGGAAGTATATAAATATACTTCTCTTTACAATTTAAGTGTTTTATTATTTATGAAAAAGATTCCTCGGTTGAAGTAAGCCTGCTAAATATAAGAGCTTGTTAGTATGTTTTTTTGCTGACGTGGTTGAATCGTCTGAAATTTATGAAAGGAAAGGTGTTTGTTTATATTGATTTCAGCAAAATAAGTAAGTCAAACACTACTTATTTTGCTTATATGAATAAGCAGAATAAGCCGATTAAGCTAAAATTGGCTTCAACTAATGAGTGACATTTATTACTAGCACTTTTGGGTTGCACTCTCTATGGTGTTCTTTGTAGCGGCTACAGTCTTCACCCTTCTCAAACTCACTGGTAAGTCCTTTGACTCCTTTCTTAACCTTCTTGTGATGTCCTCATCTCTATGCTCCTTGTTTTTCTTATGATGTTCTTTTCCCTTCTTAATTTCCACTTTCCACTGAAACTATTTGTAGTTCTGATAAAATTTGGTCTAGGGCAGTTCGGGTGAATTCAAATATGACATGAGTCACTGTTAAAAGAAATAATTATTGAAATATCATCTCATCGGTTCTGTAAAACTTAGGTCCTGTCTAGCCTCTGACATGATGTATATTTTATACTCGCATTATTGTTATTAAATTGTCTAAGATTTTTTCTTTGTTATACTGGTAGCTTGAAAAGTTGTATAGGAAGATTCTGCCAGGGACTTAAAAGATTTTTTTGTTTTGTTTTGGCTCCAATATCATGGATTGATTCATGTTAGCCGACCCCAAAATCTTTTGGGAATAAGGCTTGGATGATGTTGTATAAACCTTGTATGAAAAATGATGAAAAGAAAATAGATTATAAGTGGGGGATGTGGATTCATATTTAAACATGTTTTCGTAGATTATAAGTATTTAAGCATACATACATATATGCACACAATGAAAAAAGTAGTGGGTCTGATTGGAACCCAGAAAATATTATTGAAAGAAAACCAGAAGGTACCCATGGAGGAAGATTGGAAGGAAAGAAAATGTCGGGGAATATAAAAATAGGCTAGAACCTAGAACATAATAAATGTATATAAGATATTTATTTATAGTTTATACCCATTATAATTATTTTTTCTTTCATTTATACTGATAACCCATTACATTTATATTTTCTATTACTTTAAGAGAAAAATCTGAAATACATAGACTTTTAAAAGAAGTAATAATATTTCCTTTTTCTGTGCATTTTAAGGTAAAATCAAACATGAAAAATAACTTAACATAATGTTTCCTTTTCTTTGCATTTTCTGGGACCTAAATATACCCTAAAAAGCACAATTTATTTATACTTGCTGTGATAATCATGTCTTCTGGGACCCAATTTTATCTCTCATAACTCCATTGACACCCCGCTGTAAAATAAAATCTTCTAGCAGAACTTTCCACTGTGGTAAAGCTCCAACACACAGTCCACAACTAGAAATCCCCACCGTTTGCTTACCGGAAAAAAAAGCATGTAATCTCTTCTTTATATCTAAGCTGATTGCCGCTGTCTGATTGCTGCAGCATTGAGCTTGCAGTTGCAGGTTCTGTTTATTGTATCAATTCATTCCTCTATCTTAATGTCAAGAAGAATCATTGAGCCTATTGCTAACAGCGATTATTGTCTTCCCATTCCAAGCTATCAATGGTGTCTTGAGGGGTTCCTGATTGAAGGATATGAGACCAAGAAGGTTCCTATAAAATTAATTTGAAAATATTTAATTTTTGAACTTTGAGGATTGGGTTAGAGATGTTAATCTTTAATTGATTCAAATTAATACAATCGGGCTTTAGGTTTTTTCACATTAATGCAAAATTTTAAAAGAAAGATGATAGAACTCAGAGGATGGTTATTATTAATCCCAATAGAGAGTTTGGCAAGGTGTAGACACGAAGGAGTAGAACAAAGAATTAGTTAGACAGGTGGGAAGTTAGTTGGAGCAAAGAGAGAAATAAAAGGGGTGAGAGAAGAGTAAGAGAGCAGGCTGTTAGACAGCTAGAACCTGGAGAGCTCTGGCACTCTTGAATTGCCCAGAATTTTAGTCTCTTTCCTGTTGAACATTGATAGTGAAATTTCTAGTTTTCTTGTTCTATTATGTTGTAGAATTCTGGATATCGTGTGTTGTTCTATCAAAGATGCCAACTCTTATTGGATGATTGTATTAGGTAATCAGACAGATAGGAATACTGCATAGCTTTTTGTTGGTTTAAGTGACAATTGTACTTTTGGTTGAGTTTAGGAGCCCAACTGCACAATTCTATTGGTTTAGAGATCCATTTTCTCTCCTTTTCTCCAAAATTGCACAATTTGGTTATGTACTTAATCAGCTGGCATAGTCTCATTAGATCAATGCTTTGCTGGATGATAGACGTAGGAAATAGAGACGTGCGAGAGAAAAGAAAATAAGTAGTTTTGGATTGAAAGAAGTATGTAAGGCATAAAAGAGAATGACAAGTTGTCCTTTCGTACAAATGGTGTAATCACGTACTTCCCATGTTTTTGTAGATCTTAGGAAGTAGAGAAAAAAAGAAGATTAACCTTGTAAATTTAAAGTGTTCCTATATTTTTGTCACCTTTCTCCAAGAAGTCTCACCACATAGGATGTTTTTGTCATTGGGTCCCACACTACTCCCACCTAATATTTCTCTCTCATTTCCCACTTCTGTTGCCAAATAACATTTTTTCTCTCCCACATCCCTCTTCCTTATCCTTCTTCCTAAAATCCCTCTAAGCAAAAAGAGGCTAATACTCCCTCCACCCCATAATGTTATTCCTGTTTACTCTTTACACTGCGTTTACTTTTGGCCCTGAAACTGTGGTTGATATTTATTAAAAAGGGGAGAATCTTTTTGGAAATGTGACGAACTTTTTGGGACAACACGAAAAGAAAAGTGGGAAGACCATTTTTGGACAGAGGGGGTTATATCACAGGGCTTGCTCCTCTGTTAATGTTGCCTAAGAAGCTGGATAACAAGTTTTGGTGATAAATGAAACCTGAAGTGTTATAGTGCACTTCTACCACTCCATGAGACCATGACCAATTGACCACCTAATCGCCTTTCACTGCTTCCTGACCTCTAATCTACTTGATCTTTATTGGGGTTTTGACAGCAACATTACTAAATGAAAATTGAAAACTCATGGACACAAATAAGATTGGTTTTAAAAATTTCCAAAAAGAGACTTATATGACTTTTATATCCCACCCTCACCAGTGACGGTGACTATCCCCGGCTAGTGACCATCGCTGGCCGGGGACCACCGTCAGCCAGTGACCGCCGCCACCAACAGTGACCATTGCTGGTCACTGCTGCGGCCCTACGTAGTGCTGCTTCCAGTGATGCCAGTGACCGCCGCCACCCCCGCCCCTGCCCCCCCTCCCTATCCTCCCCATGCTTTCCTATCCCCACACCCGCCACCCAGCCCCCGCACACCACTGCCCCACCCCTGCAATCGCCGCATCCCACCACCCCACCCCCACACCACTGCCCCACCCCTGCAATCGCCGCATCCCACCACCCCCACCCCCACACCACTGCCCCACCCCTGCAATCGCCGCATCCCACCACCCCACCCCCACACCACTGCCCCACCCCTGCAATCGCCGCATCCCACCCCACGAACCCAACCAAGCTCTACACCAACCCCTGCCCCCTACCGCCAGCCACTGCACCGACATCTGATTATCTGATACCATGTACTATTTGAGTTATTGAACCTGCGATATGCATTTTGTTTGTACATATAGGGCTAACATTTTCTATTTCCTATCCCTTGGTTGTTCAGCATTCTCCTACAATTTCAAATGTCAATAACTCAATCTTGATCTGTTAGGAAGATTTTTCTATTCCCTGTATGAATGCCTTTTTTACGGATTTCGGTTTAAATTCTTATTTATTTTAGGTTTTAGTCTATTCACCTACGCCACTGTGCTGATATATCATGCTCATCATTTCATTTTCTAGGTGATGTAGATGCTTTAGGTTGGTGGGACCTATTTATAAACTATGGGTACTAAAATCCTGCTTTGATAGATTTTATCATATATTCATTTTTATTTACGTCCCTCACGACAACAGTGACAAGCATCAACCTTTTTTTGTTTCCACAGTATTGCCGAGTGCTTTGCATTTTTCATATGTACAAAGTGGTCTAATCCCATGATTCATAGACGTTCTGCCACACGGGAAGCAAGTTCTTCTTCTGCCTCTATTCGATATGCTGATTGGCTGTCTTCAGAAGATCAATTTGAAGATAGAATGTGTGGTTTACATGACATAGGTGGCCACCTAATGAAAATTCTAATTATTTGTTTCCAAGTTCTCCTATGTATGCATTTGGAGGTAAACACTATGACTCATCTGTATTATAGATTTTCGAGTGATTATTTATCAACTAATCTTTTGGGAGCCGTCTGGAACATGGAAAATGCAAGGGAAAGAGAATAAAGATGTGAAAGAGGAAGTTTAAAAGGAAAGAAAATGCAAAAGAAAGAACATGCAAAGGAAAGAAAATGCCAGAGAAAATAAAAATTGCTAAGAAAACTCAAACGTATCGATTTTAGATATTTGGTCGAACTTGATATATTTAAAAGAAATTTCCCTAAATAGAAGTAAAAACAACGTGGAATTCCACAATAGGAGTACTATGTTTTTGTCCCTTAAATATGATTACTTATTGACATGCTTGGAAAATATTACTACCTCCGTCCCGCTTAAAGGTTCCCATTGCAAAATGACACGGTTATTTAGACAATAATTAAATAAGGTAAGTCAAGCATATAATATAATGGAGTCATTGATGATAACTGTGATGTTATAGATGCATTATTTTTAATATTTGATGATTAAATTGTCATTTAGGAGTATTAATTGTTTCCTATAATAGAAATGACAACCTTTATATGGGGCGTCCAAAAAGGAAAGCGAGAACCTTAGAATGGCACGGAGGGAGTATAAATTATGCATTAGTACTGTCATGTTAATGTCTGATTATGCCAAAATATGACATCATAATTTCAGTATGAGAGTAATGCACTCTTATTTAAGTGAAAAACACATTACTCCTATTTGAAATTTTACATTGTTTTTATTCCTATTTTGAGAATTTCGCTATATTTAAATGTTTCCATCGTACAGACCAACTTTCCTTGATCCCTTAAAACTTTGCTAACTTTCCTTTTTGGTTGTCCCACTAACTTTGTCACTTTCCCTTTTTAAAAAAGAATTTGTGGTTCCAGATAATTCTCTCTCCACAAAGTTTTTACTTTATTAATCCCCGTGCCGGTCAAACTTGGGAAAGTTTGAAGGGACGGAGGGAGTATATGTAAACAGTTTAAAAGTTTATTTCAGATTTTATTTTCCTTTTTATTTTGAAAACCAACATCAGAAGACCATTTTTCTTAGTGTTTTTTCTTCCTCTACCATTTTTTCGAGTTCCAAATAAAGCCTTGGTGTTTGTGAATTTCAGGGAACACCCTTAGGGGCCAGATATGTTCCTCTTCCAGTTCTCTTCTCCCCGATCTTTGTACTGCAAGGGGTTGCAGTTTTATGTTCACTGTCTAGAGTCATCGAGAAAGTTACCCTTTCCCTTCGAAGTGGAGCTGGTACAGGAAGTTATCGAGTACTCTCTTGGCTTCGTGATTACTTTTCTTTTTTCCATCGTGGATCCAGGTAGTACATCAATTCCACTTTAAGCTTCGTAATAGGATAAACTGATCTTTAAGCCCGTAAACTTGGATAGTTGGCCCTATTGAACTCATCAACTACTAAACATACCTACTAAGCACGCCAAGGGAAAACTTAAGTTTTCATGGCAGGCTTAGCCGAATGGGTTCAGATGTGGTAGATTTGAATTAATAGCCATGGATAGAAACTCTACAGGGGGGTGGTCCCTAGGTGACGCTTCTCCCACCCTGAGATTGAATGCTCAGTGACCGTGATTAATCTGCTCTCCTCATGCCTTGGGGTGAATCTCTCCAGAGCTGAGGGATTCAACTTTTGGACGACAAAGACAAACTTAAGGCGGCTCTGTTTGGTGGCTAAATCTGTGTTACCAAGTATTTTTCCTATCAGAAAATTTAGCTATTTAGCCAAGTAACCCTAGCCAAATTCGCCCCAAGTCTAATTGAGCCTTTTCGTCGCCTCCGTCCCATTTCTTTCATGTCTTACATTGTTCCATGCCTCACCAAGTTATACCAGAAATGTGAAGGACATGTTTAAGACATTACGGAAATGGGCCGTAGACGCAAAAAAGGGTGTAATGGGTCTTAAGTTTTCCCTGGTGTGCTCAATAGGTCAGGTTTGAAGTTGAGGGGCTCATTGAGGTCAACATAACAAGTTCAGGGGCTTAAATGAGTTGGACCACATAGCATGACCCTTTATTTATGCTTTCTTTTTTATTCTTTTTTATTTATTTATTATTATTCATGTTTTCTATATTCATGTTCAATCTTTCAACAAGCAGGCTTTTGGGTTGGTGGTCTATTGATGAAACCAATCAAGAACGGGCCCAGCTCTTCTGTGATACTGCATCTGGGTAAGAGGAATTTCACGTGTCTAAATATCTTTCCATGCAATCTTTTTGCAATACTGTCTATAACATTAACATAGCTTTTATTTTATTAATATTTTTTACTAGAATATTTTGTAGGCATTTTTGGAATTACTCTCCAGCCTTCACAGATCAATTTTTAGATAGAAACAGAAGAACCGGATTATGAGTAAACATCTTAATTTTTTGAATATTAATTACCAACAATATTTTAATTCGTACAATGATGATTTGTGAGTAAAAGATAAAGAGAATAAGAGATGATATCTGGAACTCTGCTCTTTGCAGTTTGCAGTACACCATTTTTTTAATTACAGGATCTCATCTTTTCAGTTTAGAACTTCAGTCAAGTGCATATTCCCCCAAAAGGTGGTGTTAGCCTGTTAGGTTGTTGGGGATCTCTATCTTCCAGTAAATAATCTAGTATGTAGATTATTATTATTATTATTATTATTATTATTATTATTATTATTATTATTATTATTATTATTATCATCGTCGTCGGCGGCGGCGTCGGCGGCGGCGGCGGCGGCGCCACCGTCACCGTCACCGTCACCGTCATCATCATCAAGAGTTTTTTCCTAAAACATTACTAATCGACAATTTATGGACAAAAATGCGATTAAAGTTACTATGGGTATACTTTTAGTCACTATGGTGTACAATATGAACAGAATTATAGTCACTAATTAATAGGTCACTTTTTTGTCCATTATCTTTCTTTTGGTTATATATTAGGAATTATTTCATTCTTGTCTGGGACAAATAATGCAGTTACAATACCTTTTGTGGCTATCCACCTGAAGTAGTGAAGAAAATGCCTAAGAAGGATCTTGCTGAAGAGGTATTAGTTTATTTATAAATATGTATGTGTGTGCATATTCTTATTTTTTATGTGTGTGTATATTTTTAATTTTAATGCGTGTGTATATTTTTAATTTTTATGTGTGTGCATATTTTTATTTTTTATGTGTGTTTCCTCCGTTTTTTAATAATTGCAACACTTTCCTCTTTTTTTTTTTCATTAATGTAATCAAAATTTTAGGTTTGGAGACTTCAAGCAGCCCTTGGTGAACAAACAGAAATCACAAAGCTAAGTCTACAGGAATATGAGAGACTTCAAAATGTAAACACTCTTAGCTCTGATGATCGTTTCATTAACTGATGAACACACACTTAAAGGAATCCTTATATTATCATCATCATAGCATGTCTGCACTGCAAATGTCATCTTGTTTCTCTTTAATTCTAGGGGTAATTTGAGTTTGCACCCCACTTTATTGTTCAAATCATAGATACAGAAATCGCTGAGATACCCGCGTTTTGCGTTCCGGATCGCGCGTACTGGATCGCGGTACATTTGCGTGCCAGTCGCTTCTGGGTCGCGACTTCGGTAGTTCGTACGGAGGTTTCAGGTCGCAGTTCGCTGGTCTCTCCGCCGCAAGTCGCTGACGCAGTTCTCTCTGCCGCTGTTCTCTCTGCCGCAGGCCCTTTCTTCGCCTTTTTGTACTGTCGCTCGTTTTACAGTATTTGAGATCTGGACTCTGTTCTTTACTCTGCGGCCCTCTCACTCTTTCTTTTGGCAAACCGTTCTTTTACTACTTTTCCATCTTTTTTGAACTACGCAGCATTTTGTGTGTTTGATGATTTTTGAACTACACACTATATTCTCTTTTAACAACTGATTTTTTTATTACTTTATTAGTATTGAATACTTATATTAAATAAAAAATTAATTTTATCAGATTTAGTTTATTCAGTTTATGAATTGGGAACAATTGGAATTTGGAATGTTACATTAATTGTTCAATACTCCATGTTATTAATATTATATTTCTACTTTTAAATTCAATATGTTTAGCGGTACACCGTACGTAATCAATGGTACAACGTACCGTGTACCAAAATAGTATACCGAAGAAGCCTACCCCCTCGCGGTCCGGATACGCTGGAATTAGCGAACCCCGTTCCCGATCCTCGTTCCCGTACCGAAGCGTTCCGCAAACTATGTGACTATGGTTCAAATTGGACTTTGCACCCCGTTTTTAAAAATCTTTGTTTTTGCACCCCAACCCCATATGAAAAGACAAAATGCCCTCGATCAGAATATGTTGTAGGCCAACAGAATTGTTAATGGAGGAGCATTTTGTCATTTCATATGGGGTTGGGGTGCAAAAACAAAGATTTTTAAAAATGGGGTGCAAAGTCCAATTTGGCCAATAAAATGGGGTGCAAACTCAAATTACCCCTTAATTCTATTATTTTGCATACATTTACATCTCATCTCTAACTTCGATTCTTTGCAGGAAAAAATTCTTTGTCGGGTTTGCTTCGACAGAGAAATTAGTGTAGTTCTCCTTCCATGTAGACATCGGAGCCTCTGCAGGTACCACACCCGTAGAGCCTTCCCGCATTTTTGGTGGAGCTTATTTAGAAGTTTGTGACTTATTTTACATTCCATATAAGCTATTAGTTCTGTTCGATATATAAAATAAGAGCTTAAAATAAGGTGTTGTGGGAAAAGCTTTTACCTATTACTCCCACCGTCGGTCCGTCCCGCTAAGATTGTCTCATACCTTTTCTATCCGTCCCACTAAGATACACATAACAAATTGGTAAAGTTTATGGTTCTAAATCATCCATTCATCCTTTATTTTTACTTTATAAATTCAATATCAACCAAACAAACCACTTTTCTTAATAATGGTGTCACCTCCTCTTGTCCCAATGTTAGTGGGACGGAGGTAAATACTATGCTTAGCAAAACAAGTTTGATAGCTAGCTGATACCTCATAAATCAACTATATTTGTAAGTGCTAAGTTAGTTGATTTCCAACCATGTTTGGTGAATATTAGCTGATAAGTTAGGTTTGAAATGCAAAATGACGCTAACACAGTTTTAAATTTAATATGGTGAAAAATGGAACCATAATGAAAGTATCATGGAGCTTATTCGAAAAGCTACTCAACGAAGATTATAAAAAAGTTTTCACTTATCAAATAAGTTACCCTTCCAAGTAAAAGTTAATAGCTAGCTTTTATGGCTTGCCATGCATAGCTGTATAGAATTTGGGAATTAAGTTACTAGTTTTTCTCACCAATGGCCACATTCTTTCAAAAAGACGAACTTGCTTTTTCCATCTTTTATTAATGTGAGACTTGTCATTTTATATTAATTTACATATGTGGCATACTCAACAAATAATCTCAACCAAGTACACATTTCTTAACAACTTTCAGCTTCTAGCTAATAACTTTTCAGGCTTTCAGCTTAGCGATGCCAGACACTTTTTTAAGGTTTTTTGTGAGTTCGCATGAAATTAAGTTACCATTGTTCTTGAATTTGATGTAGCACATGCTGCAGTAAGTGCAAAAAATGCCCTATTTGTCGGGTTGTCGTCGAAGAGCCCTTATCTGTATATGATGTTTGAAGCTTTAATCCATCGAAGTTTTAGTTGTTTGGGTTGAAGGAAGCGCCAGTGTACATTTTTCGTACATGAAGGAAGGTGTCAGCATTGTTAACCAGAAGAGTGCAGCTTCTTTTTCTTTGACTGAACCAACACACCATAAGTGGGAGGATATTTTAATATAAGATTGCAGTCCTTATTTTATGCTGTGATCCCTTGTTTTGGTTGTAAATCAATGTGGGCTTTGTTTAGTTTTTTATTTTATTTTGAAATCACATTATCAATATTATCTTATTAATTTGTATTAACCACATTACCGGTAAATGAAAAAAATCATGTGCACTGCCGTTATTGACTGTCATATTGTAATACTCCGTATTAGTGTTTATATATATATAGTTCACACGAGATAGATGAAGCTCTGGTTTAATGTTGAAATAGATTACCAGCTAAATACAGTACAAAGTCGCATTTTAACACGCTACTACATATATCATCACTGTCCTAAATGTAGGTGGATTCGTCTCACATTATGTCAACCGAAGTAATTTTCATTCTATTTGGAAATTGGAATGAAGGTATCTGTTGCTTTGAAATGATTTTTATACAAGAATTTATTTACTGTGTTGAAAACAGTTCAGATTGCAATTATTTTTTATTCAAAAATTGCATCTTCCTTTTTACAGATTTGTTTGGTCTGTTCCTTTTGTTGATATCTTTGTTTTTTTTTTAAAAATCAAATAACTACTTTTTTAAAATCAAATGATAGCAAAGAAACAAGTAAATGAATGACTAATGTTACAATGGAATGAGACTCTGGACGGAAAAGATTCCATAAATGCTGCTCTTGTTACTCCAAATAAAAAATAAAAAGTACAAATAAAAGATCTAGTTTCACCAGCCACCAGAAAAAGAGAATTGATTTGACTAGCAATCAACGAAGGAAACTCTATCGAGTCGGAATTGCTTGAATCATCAGTTTGACTAGCCACTGAAAAGGGGATCCAGTTGAGCGTTTTCATTTTCCTGGAGAGAGGCGGTGGTTCGGGTGGAAGGTGAATAATTGAAGCCTCGGAATAACAAAGTTGAAAAAGCTTTGCCAACCATGAACAACGAAAACTCACAGATCTCTATGAGAAAAGCATACCACACGCTCACATGAAGGGGACAAAACTCTCGGCCGAAGAAGACGCCAGACCAAAACTCTTGAAAATAAAATTAAACATCCCAATCAAACAAGACTGGAAGCATAGAAGAGAACATCGTCACCTTCCAAAACTAGGCATAGACCGGTCCGGTCCCGGACCGGTCCTGGGCGGGCTTTTTGGGTTTGGCTTCGGGCCCGGAGCTTCTTCAATTTTTTTTTGCTTTTCTAATTAACCCCGACCCCCCCCCCCCACCCCACCCCCAACCCCCTTCCAAAACACCCAACCCGGGAAAAACAAAAAAAAATGAAAAAACCAAAAAACAAATAGGCCCGAACCGGGCCCGGCCGGGCTGGTTCTTATTTTTGATGACTCGAGCCCGCCCTATATAACCTCCGGGCCGGGCCTGCCCGGACCGGTCTCTGGCAGGGCCACTGGACCGGGCCGATTCAAAACAGTGCCGGGTCGAGCCATGGGGCGGTCGGCCCAGAACTGGTCCACCAGTATCCAAAACTCTTGCTCTTCCGAAACTCTTGTCGTTTGAAGAAGAGAATACTTGAAAATCAGATGTCGCAGGAAGTGAAAGATGACTGCCTAGGATTTCTCCCAGGGCCGGCCGTCCCTCGCTCCAACTTTACAAACCTTTACTGTGCATCATTATACTTGCGTTTGATGACTTTGATCATGATATCTCTGGTTTCTTATTCTCTATTTTTTTCTTTTCCTTTTCAATTCTAATCTTCTTAGTCAAAATACAGTACTAAGAATTTATTCACAATTTTTCTCTCCCTCTTCAAGTGAAATTATGAATGAGTCTAGGCTTTTCCTCGTCTTTATAAATTTGCAACTAAAGTTTTAATTAATAATCTAAAACAAAAAATTGTATTTGTATTAATAAATAACAACTCTTCTTCGAGTTACATCTTATATTTTTCAATTCATGCGACTCAGTAGGGGCCAAAATTTACATTTTCACTATATTTTTTACTACTTATAAATATTTATACATATATATACATCACAATTTTTTCTTGCAGGGGCCAAGGCCACCGCCAACCTCCCCCTGTCTCCATCCCCTGATGTGACTCAAGTTTTAAATTCATCAAAGTTCGTCGTGCTCAATAAGTTGTATACAAAACATTATATTGACACTTTTTCATATGGTTTACATTTTATCAAATTATTTATATCTAGTGTTGGGTGTGTTTCGGAAAATGAAGAAATTAAGTAAAATAAATTAATTAAAATAAAATGACTAGAGAAACACAAGAAAGGAGATGAAACAGAATTAGTCAAAGCTCGTGCTACGCACAATGTCCTTAAAACGTATTTGTTGCCTCCCACGGTGCTAGGAGCGTTGCAACAATCGTTTCCCAGGATACGATGACTACGAACTAATGTTTGAACACACAAACAAAAGTTCCAACGAACGAGAACACAGTATGAACACAGAGGGAATTTTCAGATTGCTAGCAGTGTGTTTTAGAGGTGCAAAACGTGCATGGAGTGTATGAATTCGTGTAAGTTCGTGTGTTGTTGCAAACCACCTGCCAGCCATTATATAGGAGGATTTGTTGTGTGTAAATGGTGAATTAATGGACCTGAACGTTGGACATCAATGACCAGTCCGTTGGGCATTGAATCGTCCATGAACTGTCCATTTAACGCTGCATTAAAAGATAAGAACGTTGGGCATTAATTGTTGTAACGTTTCAGAAGCGCGACAGAAGACCTCCACCAGAACACCCCGGGAGGGGTTCTGATCGGAGGCCAATCAGAAGACCCCTGTGAGGGTTTCTGGTCCGCGACCATCAGAAGACCCCGAGGGGTTCTGGTACGCGGCCACCAGAATACCCCAAGAGGGTCTCTGTCCCGCGGCCATCAGAAGACCCCAAGAGGGTCTCTGATCGAAGCCTTCTGTTCCGGAGCACTTCTGTTAACTGGGAAAAAATATACGTTTTGGGAAGAAAACAAAAATCACCCGTATCTCTTGAGAGATGGATTTTTGGACGACATTCGTGTCCGCAGGTCGCCCGCGTACGCAAGTCGCGGTTTTTCTTCTCCGATTTCGGGATTTGATTTGCACCCCCCCCCTGCGCGCGTGGAGAGAGCCTCTACCCTAAGGAATCTTAACTCCTTAAGGGGGGAGTCCCTTTATAAAGGGTTGCAAATCCCTTGGATTTTCCGGTGTGGGAAATTAATACTAGAAACCCATCCTTTTTCCCAGTTTTTCCATTCTAACGGGTAAACTTCGAAAAGCGATTTCTCATTCACCCGTTATCCGTTTTGAGCGTACCATATATCGAATTGTAGCCCTTAACAAGGACAATCCGAAACCACTTTGACCCGACCCAAATCGGAAGTGGACCCCACTCAAAAAATTACCCCAAAATAGCCATTTAATGCATTTTTTCACACATTTTTCCAACAATCCGGCACATACATTTTGTTGGAAATATAATAATGCAATTTATTATTGAGGGTCTCATTTTTTGAGTCTTAAAATATAAATGTATATGAATTGAAAGGTTTATTTTATACAACAAAGTACAACATTCATGTTTGGATCTATCTTAGTTAGCAAATAGAATCTATAGTTGTAAATGTTGTAAAGTGGTGTATAAAAATGATGAATCATTTTTTCCCATGTTGAAATTTGAAGATCTCTTTATAATTGATGTTTTCCTATGATAAGAGACGGTCTACTTTGGGTAAAAATCAGTGGTTAGTTTAATCAGGATACTTTTATTTTAATATCTATATAATATAATAAAGCAAACCCTTGATGAACTCTTTAGAGGAATTATTGACATGTGGCAATAGTCTTTGTATGAAAAAGTGACATGTGGCAAGACAATAAATTCAATAAAAAACTATTCAACTTCCAAAACTCTACTTTTATGTATTCCAATATTATATACATATGTATTTAAATCATTGGTATACTGAAATTTTATAACTATTATATTGTACTACCTCCGTCCCACTAAGATTGGGACATGAGGTGATGACACGATTATTAAGAAAAATGAGTTTATGTGGTTGACGTTGAATTGCTGAAATAAAAATTAAGAAAGAATGATTTAATACCACACAAACTTTAGCTAATTTTGTACTTCGTATGAGAAAGTGTTAGAGGGACGGATCGAAAGGAAAAGATAAGAGAATCTCAGCGGGACGGAAGGAGTATCTATAAAAAACACTCAGTGTAGAAATGACGCAATTTACATCTTTTGAGTAAACATTTGAATAATTATTATAATATAGAAACAATAGTTCAACAAGGGTTGTAAAATAACAAGTATATTTCAAAATACTTTTGGTAGTAAACCATCAATATTGAAGACAAAAAAAGTAAAAAAAAAAAATAGATGTTTATAATTTGTGTTACTCACCCGTGCGAATTGACCCACGAAACCGGTCACTTCATTGGATAAAAAATGACAACTCTTACCCACTTTGAAATGGGATGCAATAGACCAAGCTAGCCTGGAGACTTTGACTCCTTTCGACAACTCTATCCACAGTTGAGTGAATTTTCTTTTAAACCGTGATTGATGAATTCACATACAATTCATTTCACTTACAATTTTTATAAAAACATTAAGTGCATATTTTGCCGTGCAGTGCACGGGTACATATACTAGTTGAATATTAAAGTAAAAGTGTAGTAGCTAGAAGGAGATTATTCAAATTTGGATTAATCTTATGATTAGCTACTTTGTCAACATTGACAGTTAGTCAGTTACAATCCTGAAATTAAACTCTATTTCATTCAATCCTTCTACATTGAATTTGCAACGTATGATTTCCAAAACTCCTAAACCCCATCTCTTATTCTCTTTCCAAAAGTTGAAACCCCTGCATGCTCTTTAAATGTGAGTATGCATGCATTATAGCAGCAAGCTCTTTTTTGCTCTTGAGATACGAAAGAAAAAGAAAACAGAGAGTCTTTACCGCTTACAAATTTGTTAGTGTTGTTGGGTGTGTTTCGGAAAATAAAGAAAAATTAATTAAAATAAATTAATTAAATAAAATGACGAAAGAAAACAAGAAAAGAGATGGAGCAGAATTTGTCAAAGCTCGTGCTACGCACGATGTCCTTAAAAACGTATTTGTTGCCTCCCACGGTGCTAGGAGCGTTGCAACAATAGTTTCCCAGGATACGATGACAACGAACTAGTGTTTGAGCACTCAAACAAAAGTTCCAGCGAACGAGAACAAAGACTGAACACAGAAGGAATTTTCAGAGTGCTAGCAGTGTGTTTTTAGAGCTAAACGTGTA